TATTTATATAAATAGTATTCTATTATTGTTTAACACCACTCGATTAATTGCAATTAATTTTAATTGCCTGACAGCCCTAATTTAGAGAGAGAGAGAGAGAGAGAGAGAGAGAGAGAGAGAGAATGAATCAGGTCTGCTGAAATGTTTGTTGTTTTAAAAACAAAAAAAACCCTTGTTGATAAAATACCTGCTGATGTTCAGAGTCGCAGGGTGGGGAGAAAAGAGGCAAGTTTACCAGAAAACCTGAATTTCTAATTACCAAAGCTTCTGAGCATGCCCCTTAGAATCCAATAAATCAGACCTTGCTGGATGTTTAGAACTACTGTACTTTTCTGTTCAAATTAGTGATATAAACCAGCAGAAGGCTTGAGAGAAGTCCTGCCAAATGATTACATAAGAGGGAAATGCTAAGCAAAACAAAGTGCTGAGAATGAGAGGAAAGAAAATACAGAATATTCACTAATCAGAATAAATACTAATTCTACCAGGTCTCTGGCACTTTTCAGGGCCAATAAGCCCACATTATGGGTTGGTTGCAGGCCCATTTTTGGAATGACACAGGAGACATCGCTGGTGGAAATATGCTGCAAGAGGCACAATGTCTCGTGGAGTACCCTAGCATGCAGGTGAAGAGCAGAAACTGCACCATTTCTTTGGACGGTGTAACCTACTCCAGCAGCTCAGCAAGCTGGTGTGCAAAGGAATTGGGATATGTCCATTGCTCTTCCTTGGGCTCTGTCTTTGTAAAGCACTTTGAGATCCACAGTACAAAAATGCTGTGTACGTGCTCGGTATTATTTTATATTATTCTAAATTTAAAACTCTATAATATTTATATTGCACTAATGGTCTCAACCAGGTTGTACTTAGCATTATATATGCATGTAATAAATGACAGTCCTTCCTCCTAGGAGCTTGGAATCTGAAACAGCAGATGTAACAGGTGGATGAAATAAACAAGCAAATATAAGGGAGAGGGCAGGACAGTATAATTAAAATAGGCTATTTTAGCATAGACTAGCTGTGCATACAATTTCATAGACGTAATACACCAACCATTAGCAATAATCACAACTTGCCACCTGCCTAGCCATTATCTGATGGTAGTTTTCTATACGCTTCATGGCAGAGGTGAGTTTTAAAGAGGGATTTGAAAGAAGATAAGATGGTGTATTGAGTGTAAGGTACTCAACAACAATAATTTACCTACAGTGGCCAATAACATTTGGAGAAAATTATGGAGCACATTTGACTGCAAATAAAACACAGTATTATTAACCAACAGCGTACAACTGTTTAATTTGCCTATTGAAGAACTGGAGTTCTAAAGAGGAACTGGATTAGGCTGTGGGCCGGTGGGAGAAACACTTCCAAGAGCTTCTTCCATTGGCGTAGGTACTCCACCTCCACAAGGAGCAGTAGCTATGTTGATGGGCAGGGCCGGCTGCAGGCACCAGCAAAGGAAGCAGGTGCTTGGGGTGGCCAATGGAAAGGGGCGGCACGTCTGGGTCTTCGGCGGCAAGTCCCTCGCTCCCTCTCAGAGCGAAGGACCCACCACCGAATTGCCGCCGAAGAATGAAGCGGCGCGGTAGGGCTGCCGCCGAAGTGCCGCCGATGGTGGCTTTTTTTTTTCCACTTCGGGCGGCAAAAAAGCTGGAGCCCTGTTGGTGGGAGAACCTTTCCATCTACATAGCGCTGTCTACACGGGGGGTTAGGTCGATGCAACTACGTCACGTCAGGACTGAGTGACGTGGTTATACCGACGTAAGTTTGTCGTGCAGACCAAGCCTAAGTGTCTGGAGGACTGAAAGTGACAGGGAAACAGGAAGAGTTATAAACATGAAAAAGAAACCAATGTTACAGATTGTTTTTCTGTAGTCAAGTTTTCACACAGTACATCTGTGGACCAGTTGCTGACTGAAAGGAACATAGCTTTTTCAAATGTTACATTTATTTCTCTTGTGAGGAAAGCATAAAATGCAATGATTTAAGTAGGATGGTATGACACTTATGTTAATGCACTTACTTATGAATGTTGTACAGCGTCTGTGGAAGTGAAAGAAATATACTGCAACCTGGAAAGAAACAAGATTCATATATGATGTTTTATGGACATGCTGCATTAATGGCATCAAATCTTTACTGACGTGATAACTGAACTATTCTGCCTTGTTATGAGAGAATTCTCTGCTGGGTGTGTAAACTGAGGTCAAAGGCTGATTGCAGCTGTATAATTATCACTATTGGTTCATATATTTTTATTAAGTGATGCTGCTGCAAATGGTTAACCATATAGAGTCCTGCATTTTGTAAGACAAGCAGTAGAAGCTTTTAAGAGACATTCTGAGTAGTGTGTTGTAATGGTGTTACTAAAAGATTGCATTACAGTTCAGTAATTATTTGTACTATGGTAGCACCTATTGGCTCCAACTGCAATCAAGTCCCCATTTTGCTAGGCACTGTACATTCACATAAGAGACAGATCTACCACAAAGAACTTGCAGCTGAAATAGATAATTAACCACAAACACGGAAGTCAAATTATTTATACAGCAATGTGCTTATTAGGCAAACGGTAGGTTGGCAATTTAATATACAAAGATTCTATTTATAATATAATTTTATATTCCATTGTTACAATGATTTATTTTCACTACTGTGAAAATCATTTGATTGTTATTTTGATATTCACTTTAAAAACACAGCAGTGGCTTTTAAAAAAAACCTTTTCTTCTTCTTTGAGTCTGAGGTAACTGGCAAAGGAATGGGGATTCCCTTGTATAAACTATGCCAGCAGCTATCTGTGTTTATTTGTATTATCATAGCGCCTAGGAGCCCTAGCCATTGATCAGTACCCCACGGTGCTAGGTGTTGTACAAACACAGAACAAAAAGACTGTCCCTGTGCAAAAAGTTTACAACCTAAGTATGAGACAACAGATGGAAATAGACAGATCAGGGTGTACAAGGAAACAGACAATACTGGTCAGCATGATGGGCAGTGGATATATGCGGTACTCCTGTGATCTTCGGTGGCATACCTTTTTTCCTTTGTGTTTGCCTATGTAGTATTTTCCTTTCTGACTACCTATCAAGTGTTTTCCAGCTGGTTTATTTGTTGCTTGAAGTCCCCATAGGATGGCTCTGCCTCAGTTTCATTATTATATGGCTGGATAATTGTCATAATGTCTGTGTTTTAAAATTGTGAAAGACTAATAGTTTGTTACGAGGTAGACTTGCACCCTCTGGTGATGTAAACTTTGAGTTTGTAAGTTTAAACTTTCTAAAATCTTAATTATAAAAAAGTACTCAACTGGTTTCACAATATTAGCATTTTGTAACAATTTTTGTAAAAACAAGGAAATTCAAGATGCAGGATCCTCTATTTGTAGTATATATTGGGGTTAACATAGCACAGCAGGGTTTCTTGTCTCCTCACGAGATTTTGGCTTTCACCAGTCAGTCATTTGTCCCCATTGTAGAACTACCAAAGTCTTTGGCACAATTTGGGACGATTGGCAACTCAATAAAGGAAAACTAGAATAGTAGGGACACTGGAGTCAGGATAAAGTTGTATTAAGGAATATTGCACTAGCTGCATGGAGACTAGTCAATATAGCCTATATGTTCTTTAATAAATTCCAAACTTCAACCAACTTCTAAAAGCAGAAAAAAGAAAAGAACAGTTCAGATTGTAATTTTTTGGAGGTGGTGGGGTTTTTGGGGGGTTAGCCCTCATCTGCCTCTCCTTCCCTACCCTTACAAAAAACATCCGTCCTCTCTATCAAAAAGAGGACTTGCACTTTGAAGAAACATCCCAAATATTTTGTAAATATATTTATATACATTCTCAAGCTTCCTGCTCTCAGAATTGTCTGCTTAGCGTACATTGCAGATAGCTATGTTTTCTATTAAGCATGGAGGGCTGGGTCAATAAAACCTTGAGTTACGTACAGCAGTCCTACCATCTGCACCACATTAGAGCAGACATGAGACAAAACACCAACTCTTGAGGTTAAATCTAAATTTCCTGCTTCAATCCTGAAGTTTGATTTGTTAGAAGAAAAGCAACCAAGAAGAACAGAAATAGAGACCAGCACTAGAAATAGAATTCAAAGACCATTAGTTCCCAGCAATTTGTTATTTTTATGAAGTGTCATTTTAGTTAGAAATAACACACTGACCACAAATGATAATCTTGCTAGCTAAAATTCCATCTCCAAGAAGGGACAGATACACCAGTCACTGCTTTATACTCTTCACCCAAATAAACTTTTACCCAATGTAATCTTTTATGAGGCTGGGGGTTTGAGTGTACTGGGGAGGGGGTAGTTTTTATGAAGTCATCCAACTTCTTCAGCACATTGTCTCCGCTGTCTTTTTAGCAGAGGAGGCCTGGTTAGGGGTTGTCGTTGGAACTCATCAAGACTGTTTTTTAATTAGCGTTAAGAAATCCCTTCTGCCCAGCAACTGAATAGCTGCTTCTGCATCATTCTCAGTCCCTGCTGATTCAGGGAACAGAAGGCCTGGAGTGAGAATCCAATCCAATCACAATCGGTCAGCCACTGAGCCATCCTGACTCCTGGCCAAGTGGTGATTTTTGGATCTTAAATTTTTGAAAATCCCTAAAATCACACATTCAATTACCTGTGGTGATTGAAATCTCAAACTTGGGACATTAGGAGACATTCTCTCAATAGAAATCATTCAGTTTTTAAAAAAAATCTAACTACAAAAAATCAGAACATGAAGTAATGCAAAATCTGAGTGTGAATATGAATGCTGTGCACTTCTACAACGCCTTCATTCTGAGGCTCTAAAAACATTATACAACCTGTGAACAGAACTGGTCAAGCTTTTTGTTTACACAAAAAATCCTTACCACTTCTCAACCCACTCTGTTTCTGAGCTCCATCTCAAAACACCACTGTGAGAAATTATCCCTATTTTATAGTGGGGAAATTGTGTCACAGACAGGTGACACAGAGTAACATAGGGAAATCCAGTGGCAAGATGGGAATAGAACCCCCAAGTCCCAATCCTGTGCTTTAGCGACACGATCATCCAACTCTCTTTTAGACACATAAAATAGGCAGTTAAAATGCATTTGTATCAGTAATCATTTTGGTCATGTCAGGAAATACTAAAGGACAAAGGCACATTAGGAACAAAGACACCTTTTGAATTTCCAAAGCTATTTTTGAGATCTAAGTTTTCCATTATCAAAGAGGCAGCTGCAGTAGCAATTCTGACACCTCAAACTCTTGTTTAGGGCTTTTGAATTCAATCCTTATCCTAACACAACAAAGTGTTAGTTACTTATGTGAATATTTCTACAGCAGATGTTGCCATAGCATATGTACACCTTTATGGAAAATTAAAAACAAATATCTGTCATCTTAAAGGATGACTTAATAAAATCACTGACCCATTTTGTGCCGTGTATAAGCCTCTCGCTTTTGTCTAATGGTAATTAAGTCACTCTTGTTTAAAGAGCCTTAGGCCTTGCCCAGAAGGTCACCAATCTCCTCCAGATTGTGAGAACAGGTTCAGCAATGAGACCTGCCACTCTACACTGTTGCTGTCATTTTTAAGCCACTGTTGTACTTCAAACCAATGTCATTCTTTCAGATACATTTTGGTTTCCAAACACTTTCCATCTGAAAAGGGAAACTTCCCCCATTTTGGCAGCAGCGTGGGGGGGAAGAGAAGGGAGACAGGGAATAGGGCTGGGCAATCCTTTGCATAATGCAGAAGCTAAGGCTTTGTCTATACTACGCATCTTTTAGTGACACAGCTGTGCCTCTACAGCCATGCCGCTAAAAGGTGCCCAGTGTAGCCGCTGTTTGTTGGCAGGAGAGAGCTCTCCCACTGACAAAAAACTTCCACCCCCAACGAGCAGCTGTAGCTTTGTCGGCAGGAGAGCGCTCCTGCCGACAAAGCGCTGTTCACACGGGCGCTTTTCGTCAACAAAACTTTTGTCTTTCGGAGTGTGTGTGTTTTTTTAACACCTCTGAAGGACAAAACTTTTGTTGTTCAGTTGCCAGTGTAGACAAAGCCTAAGAGTTAATTTTCACTGAAATGAGCCCTTAAATGCTTGGCAGTTTAGTAGCATTTCAACCTGCTTCACTAATATTATAGAAACCAATTCTCAGTGGCTCAAATGACAGTGATCCTAAGGTTACATCTATACTGCAGAAAATGAAACAAAACATAGAAGCGAGTCTCAGAGCACAGGTCAACTGACTCAGGCTTGAGGGGCTTGTGCTATTGGGCTAAAAATAGCAATGTAGAAGTTCCCATTTGGGCTGGAGCCTGGGCTCTGAAACCCAGCAAGGGAAGAGGTTCTCAGAGTGCAGGCTCCAGCCCGCATGGGAATGTCTACGCCGCTATTTCCAGCCCGGTAGCATGAGTCCCAGTCAGTTGCCCCAGCTCTGAGACTCACTGCCACAGGGTTTGTTTGTTTGTTTGCAGTGTAGATGAGCCATAACTGGCCCATCTCATCACCACACTACTGTCCCTTTCAATCTCTCGATTGATAACCCTATATTCAATGACTGCTGAAGAGTCAACTTTAAAGATGATTCATTTACACCTAACACCTGGAAAAATTATTTAGCAATGTTTGGCATCTCAGAGCCTAGAAAACCCCTCCCCACCCTATATTCCACATTTTAGAGCAGCTAGAGTGTTGGGGGGGAAAATTCACTGCATTGAATGTTTAAAAACAACAAGGAGTCTGGTGGCACCTTAAAGACTAACAGATTTATTTGGGCATAAGCTTTCGTGAGTAAAAACCTCACTTCTTCGGATGCATCCGAAGAAGTGAGGTTTTTTACTCAC